TTCTTGTTGGACAGATCCTTTGAGTATGATATAGTGTCCTTCCTCATCTCTTACTATAGTCCTTGGCTTAAACTCTAATTGACCTGATGTAAGGATTGCCACCCCAGCTTTCTTCTGATGTCCATTAGCATGGTAAATTGTTTTGCACCCCCTCACTTTAAATCTGGAGGTGACTTCGGGTCTAAAATGAGTTTCTTGTAGGAAACATATAGATGGGTTTTGTTTTTTTATCCATTCTGATACCCTGTGTCTTTTGATTGGGGCATTTAGCCCATTAACATTCAGGGTAACTATTGAGAGATATGAATTTAGTGCCATTGTATTGCCTGTAAGGTGACTGTTACTGTATATTGTCTCTGTTCCTTTCTGATCTACTACTTTTAGGCTCTCTCTCTGCTTAGAGGACCCCTTTCAATATTTCCGGTGGAGCTGGTTTGGTGTTTGCAAGTTCTTTCAGTTTTTGTTTGTCCTGGAAGCTTTTAATCTCTCCTTCTATTTTCAATGATAGCCTAGCTGGATATTCCTGGCTGCATGTTTTTCTCCTTTAGTGCTCTGAATATATCATGCCAGCTCTTTCTGGCCTGCCAGGTCTCTGTGGATAAGTCTGCTGCCAATCTAATATTTTTACCATTGTATGTTACAGACTTCTTTTCCCGGGCTGCTTTCAGGATATTCTCTTTGTCACTAAGACTTGTAAATTTTACTATTAGGTGATGGGATGTGGACCTCTTCTTGTTGACTTTGAGGGGGGTTCTCTGTACCTCCTGGATTTTGATGCTTGTTCCTTTGCCATGTTACGGAAATTTTCTCCAATAATTCTCTACAATATACCTTCTGCTCCCTCTCTCTTTCTTCTTCTTCTGGAATCCCAATTCTTCTAATGTTGTTTCGTCTTATGGTGTCACTTATCTCTCGAATTCTCCCCTCGTGGTCCAGTAGCTGTTTGTCCCTCTTTTGCTCAGCTTCTTCATTCTCTGTCATTAGGTCTTCTATATCACTAATTCTTTCTTCTGCCTCATTTATCCTAGCAGTGAGAGCCTCCATTTTTGATTGCACCTCATTAATAGCTTTTTTGATTTCAACTTGGTAACATTTTAGTTCTTTTATTTCTCCAGAAAGGGCTTTTATATCTCTCGAGAGGGTTTCTCTAATATCTTCCATGCCTTTTTCGAGCCTGGCTACAACCTTGAGAATCGTCATTCTGAACTCTAGATCTGACATATTACCAATGTCTGTAGTGATTAGGTAACTAGCCTTCGGTACTGCCTCTTGTTCTTTTTTTTTGTGGTGAATTTTTCCGCCTTGTCATTTTGTCCAGATAAGAGTATATGAAGGAGCAAGTAAAATACTAAAAGGGTGGCAAAGACCCCAGGAAAATACACTTTAATGAAATCAGAAGAGACCCCAAATCGGGGTGGGGGGGAGAGAAAGGGGATAAAAAGTAGTTTTTAAAAAAACTAGAAAAAAAAAAAGAAACAATTAAAAAAAGAAAATGAATAAAGAAAAAATATAGAAGAGAAAAATATATATATATATATATATTAGATAAACTAGTTTAAAATGTTAAAAAAGAAAAGGGTAAAAGTTAAAAAAAATTTAGCAGAAGAAGAAAAAAGAAATTGAAAAAAAATTTAAATTAACTGCAAGACTAAAGAATCATGGGGAGAAAGCCCAGAGTTCCGTGCTTTGCTTTCTCCTCCTCTGGAATTCTGCTACTCTCCTTGGTATTAAAACTAGACTCCTTGGTAGGTGAACTTGGTCCTGGCTGGATTGCTTGTTGATCTTCTGGGGGAGGGGCCTGTTGTAGTGATTCTTAAGTGTCTTTGCCCCAGGCAGGTGGAATTGCACCGCCCTTGCCGGGGCCAGGCTGAGTAATCAGCTCGGGTTTGCTTTCAGGAGCTTTTGTTCCCTGAATGCTTTCTGTAGAGTTCCAGAGGACAGGAATGAAAATGGCGGCCTCCCAGTCTCTGGCCCAGAGGTAACGAGAGCTCGGGGCCCACTCCTCAGTGTGCCCTCAGAGAATAGTGCCCAATCACTCCCGTCTCCCTGGCCTCAGGCCGCGCTCCGAGCTCACCGAGCCTGCGACCGGTTCAAGGTAACCCCAAGCTGAGAGCTCACTCCTCGGCTCTGTCTCTGTAGCTGGCTTCCCCGTTCTAATACCTCCGAGCTGTGCGACACTCAGACAGCCCCGATCCTTCTGTGACCCTGGGGGACCTGAGGCCATGCTGACCCCACTTGGGCTTCACCCCGGTTTAGCCTCTGGAGCGATGTCCCTCATCAGAACAGACTTTTAAAAGTCCTGATTTAGTGCTCCGTTGCTCCGCCGCTTGCCGGGAGCCGGCCCCTCCCCCCGCGGTCTATCTTCCCGAAGCTTTGGATTCACGTCTCCGCCAGTCCTACCTTTCAGAAAGTGGTTGATTTTCTGTTTCTAGAATTGCTGTTCTTCTCATCGATCTCCCGTTGGATTTGTAGGTGTTTGCATTCTTTAGATAAGCTATCTAGCAGATCTCCTGCTACCTGATGTAGTCTCAGCTGCTACTTCTCCACCATCTTGACTCCTCCCCCTCCCTACACATTTTTTAATCAGGTTGTTTGTCTTTTTGTTGTTGAGTTGCATGAGTTCCTTATGTATTTTGGATATTAACCCATTATCAGATATACAGTTTGCAAATGTTGTCTCCCATTCGGTAGGGTGCCTTTTCTTATTGATGGTTGATGGTTTTCTTTGATGGGCAGAAGCCTTTTGGTTTGATGGAGTCCCATTTGTTTACTTTTGCTTTTGTTTCCCTTGCCTTTAGAGTCATACCCACAAAGATGTCAGTAAAGCACATATCAAGGTGTTTACTGCCTGGGTATTCTCCTGGGAATTTTATGGTTTCAGGCAGGTCTTACATTCAAGTCTTGATTCATTTTGAGTTAATTTTTGTGTGTGGTGTAAGACAGTGTTCCAGTTTCATTCTTTTGCATGCGGCTCTCCAGTTTTCCCAGCACCAGTGGTTGAAGAAACTACCTTTTTTCCATTCGATGTTCTTGGTTCTTTTGTCATCATAGACGAACTGTTCATACATGTGTGGGTCTTTTCTAGGCTCTCAATCTGTTCCATTCATCTGTGTGTTTGTGTTAGTACCAGTAACATACTCTTTGACTATAGCTTTGTGATGTAGTTTGAAATCAGGGAGGGTGATACCTTTCCTTTTTATCCTTAAGATTGCTATGGTGGTTTGGGGGATCTTTTGTGATTCCATACAAATTTGAGAATTATTTCTTCTACTCTGTGAAATATGCCATTGGAATTTTGATAAGTATTGCACTGAATCAGTAGATTACTTTGGGTAGTGTGGACATTTTAACAATATTCATTCTTCTCATCCATGAGCACAAAGTATCTATCCCTTTATTTGTGTGTTCACAAATAGAAGAGGAACCTTCCTATTCGCTTTGGTAGAAGGGGATACTTTCTATTCGCTTTGATGGGCACTTTGAGTACCTCCTATAGTCCTTTGAGGTTAGTCTCCAGGCAAATAAAACACTCTCCCAGGATAAATCCCATTTACACCCTTTGTGAAACCAGCTGTTCCTCATTCTGCCCAGATGCCCTGAGAGTCCCCTTCCAGCTCTTCATTTTGCTGCTGACTTTCGCTCCCACCTTTTCCAGGTGGGTCCACACAGACAAAACGATCCATCCTAAGTCATCCCGGTGCTGTCTTGGTTCCACATCTAGTCCTATGACACGGAACGGATGGTTGGGTGTTTGTGAAATGAATGAATGGACAAGAGGGACACAGATAAAATGGGCGATGTATTGTTTCCTGATTGACTCATTGGCAGGCGCTCAAAAGTGCATAAGGGAAGTAACAAATTGTGCTATCTGGTTTTCCTATTGAAGTTTATTTTTTCTAATTTATTTTACATTTGAAATTAGTTTGAAAAGGCTTTTTGGTGGAACAGGGCTCCACACGTGCTCTTTGCACAGGCTTTCCTCGTGTACATTTTATGTCCAATTATTCCATAATGCAGTTTCCTTGAGCCCTGTCAGGGATAGTCTCGCCTTCTTCAGTTTCTAGCTGGACCTGAGCTTAAATAGGCTGCCCTTACAAAGAAACTGAGAAAAACAGTGAAACTCGATTTAGGAAAACCTGTGCCTAGCAGATTAACAAGAAAGGGACTCTTGTTATTCCTTAGCAATTTGTTATTTTTGAAAATCAAGACTATATCTCTTTGCTGCCCCCAATTGTGTACAAATCTGGCACTGAATAAAATAAAACCCCCCTCCATGAGGCCTCAAGGTGGCTCAGTGGATTAAGCCTGTGCCTTAGACTCAGGTCTTGATCACAGTGTCCTGGGATTGAGCCCCTTGTCGGGCTCCCTGCTCATCGGACTGTCTGCCTCTCCCTCGGCCCCTCCCCACTGCTCATGCGTGTGTGTGTGTGTGTGTGTGTGTGTGTGTGTGTGTGCGCGTGTAGGTCTCTCTCAATAAAAAAATACAAAAAATCTTCAAAATATAATAAATTCTCCCAGTTCATGCCCATTAGAAACCTAAACTATCTAAAATAGTCCCTGTAGTTTGAAAGAGGTTAGGTTTTGTTCATAAATGCAGAGGGTTTTCAGCTGCCTTACCCAATGAAAAATAGCAGGTGAAGCCACCTTAGTCTTCCTTCTTCAGGAACAGAGAAAAACAACTTGGAAAGATCCGGTCTTTTTTTTTTTTTTTTTTTTTTTTTTAAGGAGGCTGTCTGGGTTGGAGAATTCATGCAAGGAATCCTGTGTCAGAGCACAAGCATCTCCCTTCTTTCTACTCCACAATGCCCTTCATTACACGTGCCTGTGTTAGATGGTGTTCTAGATCTGAGAAGTCTCTCTTGCCATGAAGTCAGGGGGTGGTGGGTTTTCCAGAAAAGGGATGCAAGAGTCCACATACCCTGAGTTTCAAAGGATACCTTTCTGCTTGGGCAAAGAGCTAACTGAATCAAAGAAACTGATTGAACACACTTAAATTAGACATGAAACACATTTATTAGCTGCAACCCTCAGTTTTCCTGAAAACAGTAATCAGCCACTGTTACATATCTTCCTCCATGAAAGCAACAGGTCTGCACGCAGAACTAACCACATACCAGCAAGTACCTTATCCTCGTGTCATGATTTGGAGAACAAGCAATAGAAAAGACTAGGATAGCTTGTTAAGAAAACATTTTCCCTAGGCACCTTGATTTATTCCGTTTTCTCTCAAAGAGCTCAAGCAGAGGGCTACCTCATAGGTTGATCCTCTTTCCTTTCACCAGCCGCACTCGAAATCTAAGCATATCCTGGAAATAAAACCAAGCACAGTCAGTTGGTGGAACACAGGGATCTGTTCAGCATGAGACGAAGTAGATTTCTAGTATCTACCAACAGTTAAATGGAAAAACTCTGCACAGTAGTCCTATCAACTGGTAAATAAACCATATTCTAAGACTCCAAATAATGTACTTGCCCACATCTAGAATAGTGTTGACCAGACTAAGAGAGCAAGTCCCCAGAAGGTGAGCCTGTGTTATTTGGCGCTGCTGTTGACCACAGGTGTCTTCAACCGGCTGAGCACAGTGTTTGGTCAAAACAGTCCACACTGCCCCTTGTCCTGCGTTCCTATAGACACTGCCCCATTTACACTGATCTGCTCCTACGTGCAAATGATGTCATGAGTTATGGCATGATTTGGGTTTTCTTTTTCCTTTGTCTTTTTTTCTTGTAATTTTTTAAATTTTTTAATAAAGCATATAATGAATTTTTATCCCCAGGGGTACAGGTCTGTGAATCGCCAGGTTTACACACTTCACAGCACTCACCATAGCACATACCCTCCCCAATGTCCATAACCCCACAACCCTCTTCCTCTCCTTCTCCCCCCAGCAACCCTGTTTGTTTTGTGAGATTAAGAGTCACTTATAGTTTGTCTCCCTCCCGATCCCATCTTCTTTCATTTCTTCTTTTCCTACCCCACCAAACCCCCCACGTTGCATCTCTACTTCCTCATATCAGGGAGATCATATGATAATTGTCTTTCTCTGATTGACTTATTTCGCTAAGCATAATACCCTCTAGTTCCATCCCCGTTGTCGCAAATGGCAAGATTTCATTTCTTTTGATGGCTGCATAGTATTACATTGTGTATATATATATGCCACATCTTCCTTATCCATTCATCTGTTGATGGACATCTAGATTCTTTCCATAGTTTGGCTATTGTGGACCTTGCTGCTATGAACATTCGGGTGCACGTGCCCCTTTGGATCACTACGTTTGTATCTGTAGGGTAATTACCCAGTAGTGCAATTGCTGGGTCATAGGGTAGTTTTATTTTCAATTTTTTCAGGAACCTCCATGATGTTTTTCAGAGTGGTTGCACCAGCTTGCACTCCCACCAACAGTGTAGGAAGGTTCCCCCTTCTCCACATCCTCGCCAGCATCTGTCATTTCCCGACTTGTTAATTTTAGCCATTCTGACTGGTGTGAGGTGATATCTCATTGTGGTTTTGATTTGTATTTCCCTGATGCCAAGTGATGTGGAGCACTTTTTCATGTGTCTGTTGACCATTTGGATGTCTTCTTTGCAGAAATGTCTGTTCATATCTTCTGCCCACTTCTTGATTGGATTATTTGTTCTTTGGGTGTTGAGTTTGCTAAGTTCTTTATAGATTTTGGACACTAGCCCTTTCTCTGATATGTCATTTGCAAATATCTTCTCCCATTCTGTCAGTTGTCTTTTGGTTTTGTTAACTGTTTCCTTTGCTGTGCAAATGCTTTTGATCTTGATGAAATCCCAATAGTTCAGTTTTGCCTTTGCTTCCCTTGCCTTTGGAGGTGTTCCTAGGAAGATGTTGCTGCAGTTGAGGTTGAAGAGGTTGCCGCCTGTGTCCTCCTCAAGGATTTTGATGGATTCCTTTCTCACACTGAGGTCCGTCATCCATTTTGAGTCTATTTTCATGTGTGGTGTAAGGAAATAGTCCAATTTCATTTTTCTGCATGTGGCTGTCCTATTTTCTCAACACCATTTATTGAAGAGGCTGTCGTTTATCCATGGACATTTGTTTCTGCTTTGTCAAAAATTAGTTGACCATAGAGTTGAGGGTCTATTTCTGGGCTCTCTATTCTGTTCCATTGATCTATGTGTCTGTTTTTGTGCCAATACCATGCTGTCTTGATGATGACAGCTTTATAATAGAGCTTGAAGTCCGGAATTGTGATGCCACTAACTTTGGATTTCTTTTTCAATATTCCTTTGTCTATTCGAGGTCTCTTCTGGTTCCATATAAATGTTAGGATTATTTGTTCCATTTCTTGGAAAAAAATGGGTAGGACTTAGATATTCCTTTGTTCTTAATAAAACGATTCACACTTTTTTGTTTCTTGTTTATTTTTGAGCCAACAGCAAGGTCAGGTGGAAAAAACGGTTTTGGAATTGGACCTGACTCCAAAATGTACCTCTGTCACTTACATCACTCGGGCCAACCTCTTGAACTTTTCACTTTCTCACTAAGTGCGCAGAGTGAGGGGATCCTGGGTGGCTCAGTCAGTTAAGTGTCTGACGCAGGTCATGATCTCAAGGTGCTGGTCTCGCTCAGTGAGGAGTATGCTGGAGATTCCCTCCCTTTCCCTCCTCTCTCCCCCTGCTTGTGTGCACTCTCTCACGCTCAAATAAATAAAGAGATCTTTAAAAAAAAGTGAGAAAGACTGATGCACTGGGATTTGGTGAAGAAAATAAGACTAGAGATATGAAAGAGCTCTTATAACTCACAAAGAACTATGTAGCAGAAATCAATATCATTATTCTAAGTAAAGCTAAGGAACTATATCTGCAAGACTAACATGATTTCAAATACATACAGGTGGGGCACTTGGGTGGCTCAGTCCGAAAAGCATCGGTCTTTGGCTCAGGTCATGATCTCAAGGTTCTGGGATCCAGCCCCTCAGTAAGCTCCCCACTCAGCAAGAAGACTGCTTCTCCCTCTTCCTTTGCCCGCTACCCTTCCTGCTCCCTCGCTCACTATCTCTCTCTCTCTCTCTCTCTCAAATCAATAAAATAAATACAGAAGGCAATCACTTACCACAACCTGACAAACCACAAACATAATATATGCATTTTTTTCTGCTTTAAAATCAGAGTGTTGCATGGAAGCCCCACTTGACAAAATATGATGCATTTTAAGTACTGGACCAAGGGAGAAGGACAAGATGTTCTACCATCTACAGTGTGAAATGAGAGCCTTTGCAGATGTGGGATAGAGTCATAGATGCTAAAGGGAGAAGGGGCAAGGCAGAAGTCAGATTCTTAAGCTGGAAAGGAGTTTCAGAAGATGATTCCTAATGGCACGGTAGCTTAGTGCTGGTGTATGGTACTCTTCACAGTACTGGAAGGCCCAGAGTTATCATGACACTCGGTCTCCTTGGGGGTCACCCCCATAGGAAATGCATGCATTTATGATTAATGCAAATTAAAACATAGGATCAGCTTCTTCGTTCAGCGGCTAAAATGGACTTCATTTACAAAGTAACTATGTTTATTTTTGACTACAGTTTGTCTGGTGACCATCATCATCAGCTTTGAATGTTCTACTTGCAAAGAATTTAAAAGTGATGTGTACTAAGTAGAAAGGATACGAAATAATGTCTATCCCCCACTGATAAGCATCAGTGGTTTCTGAAGTCTGCTCCCTCAAACTCCAGATGCCAACTGACCCAAACAAAGTCTGCTTAGGAATGGCTTTCTGGGAGTCTCCTTGGATTTGTAGATATATCAATACTCTGCTCTATACAAATAAAGGAGGCCTCTGGGTGAGAGCCCAAGCCTCTAACTTTCCTTCTGTGCATTCAGAAGGTAGCTTTGTCCTTCACTTGCTCTCCTCCAGATCAGTTTTCTGTTTCCACCTGTCCATCCTGGAACAGAATAGCCTGCATACCACAGGGTGGCCAAAGACATAAAAAAGCACGAGGTGCTCAGACGCCCCAGCTGGGGAAGCGCGTACAAGCTGAAATTCCACTATAATTCTTAGTGGGTCTCAGCAATGCTTCTGCAAGGCGCTCTAAACAAAGCACGTTATACTTCAAATTACAACAGGTATGAGAGTTGTTAAGCATCTGAAGAAAAGAAGACAAAAAAGTCTTAACCCGTCATCTCAGAAAAACATACCTGCAGGCTGGTGTCATCTGGAATTCCATATAATTTTTTTGCTATCCGTGAAATATCCCTCTCAGTGACTTCTTGACTGGTGCCTTTCACATCAATGTAGTGGCAGTCCGCACCGGCAAAATGGCAGGAAATTGCCTGGGCAGAGTGACAGGGTTAATACTGGGAAAAAACCCATTCCATTAACACCAGCAACCAAACAGGGAGACTTCTTTTAGGAAATCAGCTATTTCACTCAGCGTTTGATTTCTAGAATGTTCCATGCTGTCCTGTATTAGTCTCTTCAGGGTTCGGTATCTCTTTTTCCCCAGGTACAGTTTAAGTCTGACTGAGAAATACAAGAGGTTTTTAGCTCCCTGCGATACTTGTTTTTAAAAAGGGCGGGGAACATAATGACATGAGTAAGAGGACTTGAACTTTTCAACATGTGATTTTTCTAGTGTGTGGATGGCCTCAAGTCCTAAACAGGAATGTGTTCCAGGGTTCTTCACCATTTTCTTAGTCAGGGAAGTTAGGTACTCAGTTGAGTTTGTGGTGGGTTGCCATTTCAATGGCTACGGATCATGAAAACAAACAAACAACAACCCACAAAAATACCTTGCAGAGGACAGTAAGATACACACCACCCCTTTGAAATAAAATGGACACTTTGAGTCCAATAGCATCACATACGATCCCCATCGTCTTTCTGTCTGAAGGTAAGATGGAGGTTACTTAGTTCTCCCCATTCTTGAAAAACTTACAAGCTAATCTAAACTTAAAACTCACTTTCCTAGTTTCAGGTTAGTTCTCTTGAGGTGACTGCCTACTGAAGGGACTGCCTGCTTTGCCCAGGACATCGAATTTCTATGCAGTGGAGTCACAAACTCCATTTCCCACAGAAGCCCCCATACCATGCCAAGGAGGAGTGACACCTGAGGCCAAAGAGGAAAAGGGCACACCCATATACATGTGTTTTTGAATTTTTTTAAGGGTTCATACTTTCCCAAACATTTAACTAGCGGAAACACTATTGAAAAATTGCAAAGTTGGGGCATTAGCTTTCATAATACTTGATTGTTTTACATTATATAACTTTTATTTTCATACAATAATCATGTCATACTCAACTTTTTAACATGGAATCTTTCAATATGTAGTTATCCTATCTCAGTTTGTGATCCTGCTCATGTAGCACGTGTTATAACTTTCTGACTCATGTAAACTCTCAGATTATTGTCTCAGCTTTGCTTTTTTATATACACACATACACATGAATTTCCATTTTTCATTCCAAGCTGAATTTGGGGGCTAAGGATACATGATAAAAGGCCCAAATTAGGGGCACCTGGGCGACTCAGTTGGTTAAGTGTCTGCCTTCAGCTCGGTTTGTGATCCCAGGGTCATGGGATTGAGCCCCATATCGGGCTCCCTGCTCAGTGGGGAGCGTGCTTCTCCCTCTCCAGCTCCCTCTTTGCTTATGTTCCCTCTCTTGTTATCTCTCTCTGTTATAAATAAATAAAATCTTTTTTTTAAAAAAGGCCCAAATTAGTGAAACTCAGGAACATTCATATTATTTATGTTTTCTGTCGCTATACCCGCTGCTTGCACACTTCTGAGGGCCATGCTGGTGGAGAGTCCAATCTAGCCTTTATTTACAACCCTGGCATTGTGCCTGTCATGGATATTTTTTCTTTTCTTTCTTTTTTTTTATTATTATGTTAGTCACCATAGAGTACATAATTAGTTTTTGATGTACTGTTCCATGATTCATTGTTTGCATATAACACCCAGTGCTCCAGGCAATCTGTGCCCTCCTTAATACCCATTACCAGGCTCACCCGTCCCCCCCACCGCACCCCTTGCCCTTTTAAAACCTTCAGTTTGTTTTCTGGAGTCCCTAGTCTCTCATGGTTCATCTCCCTCTCTGATTTCTCTCCCTTCATTTTTCCCTTCCTTCTCCTAATGTCTCCATGCTATCCCTTATGTTCCATAAATAAGTGAAACCATATGATAATTGACTTTCTCTGTTTGACTTATTTCACTCCACATAATCTCCTCCAGTCCCATCCATGTTGATGCAAATGGTGGGTATTCATCCTTCCTGATGGCTGAGTAATATTCCATTGTGTATATGGACCACATCTTTTTCCATTCGTCTGTTGGAGGCCATCTTGGCTCTTTCCACATTTTGGCAATTGTGGTCATTGCTGCTATGAACTGCTATGAAGGGTGCATGTGGCCCTTCTTTTCACTGCATCTGTATCTTTGGGGTAAATACGCAGTAGTGCAATTGCTGAGTCATAGGGTAGCTCTAATTTTAGTTTCTTGGGGAACCTCCACACTGTTTTCCAAAGAGGTTGCACTCATCTGCATTCCCACCAGCAGTGTAAGAGTGTTCCCCTTTCTCCACAACTTCTTCAACATTTGTTGTTTCTTGCCTTGTCGACTATTGCCATTCTAACTGGTGTAAGGTTCTGGAGGATTCAGAGATACCACCTTACATCATGGATATTTTTTCAATTAGTTTTGATTTTCTAAGTACTGCCCTAAAATTTCATTGAACTTGAATGCTGAGGGGTTGGGTTTTTCTTTTCTTTTTTTTTTTTTTTTACACCTTTCCCCCGCCCCTATTAAATTTTGATCCAGAAGAGTGTCTTCTTGCCTCACCTTGATCACGGCCCTGTCAACCTTATACAAATATGAATGAATAGAAGATGAAACCTGGAAACTAACCCTTGACCTCAGGGAGACAGTGGTAGTTAGTGTGAAAAACTGGAAGGTTTCACTCAGCCCCCCACTATCCCCAATATTTAGTATGGAGAGCCATGTTATATGGGGAATGGACGTCCAAGTACTGTGTGATCTGTTGGATTTTTGAGAAGTGAGAAATCCGGGACTATGAGAAATTTTGTCAGTTTTAAATCATTAGGTGTTTAAAACATTCTGAAGCTAAAAACAAATTCTGGGACTCAGGGATGAAAAATATGGCTGCCTGTGAAATCTGAGGTCTCGGCAGCCAATTCAGAACGTTTGCTTAGAATTGAGAATGATTTTCCAAATAACAAAGCTCTTATAAACCTTCCTCTTATGTGGTTACTATGAGCTATATACATTCCGGATTTTATGATTTTTATGTGCCAGCCATTGTTTCTGCCTCCAAATCACAGGCTATGGGCTCCCAAGTATGTTCTTCTTCTGAAGCAATTCTATGAATGTTCATAACTCATTATCAGCAGGATTAGCATCCTGAGGTCACCTGGCTTCTTACTGATAGGAGCCAAAAAGCAGGAGGTAGCAAATAGATTTCCTGGTAAATAAACCAGACTAAACGCCAGTTTAGTTCAATGTCACAAATCTCATCATTTCACATATCTTGAGATTTTTGTTTCTGATGGATTCATCTTTGGAAAGTACAGTGATGTGAATGCATACCTTCCGGTATCCTTGAGTTCTGTTCCAACCAGATCCATGGATGAGCAAAGGATGAAAGAAAACAGTGTCTCCCTTCTCCATCACAAGATGCACTCGGGGGCAGTTTTCATCATAGTCCTGAATCCCGTAGAACATTATGTTAACTCCTCCCTAGATCACATAAGAGAACCAAGACTATATTTGAGGAACCCAATGATTAAGAATTTTGTCCATGACTCACCAGGAAAAGCAAAGGTTTCCTAAGTTCTGCCAAGAGAAAGACATAAAAAGATTCTTAAGAGCAACTGTAAATATACAAAAACTTCTCAGACATCGGGTTGCAAAAATCATGGATCTGGGGGCCCAAATGAAGAATATGAAATTTCCACTTATCCTTCATTACTGAATTATAAATGAAGATCTAGACCAACTTTGCATTTTGCAGTTAACATGGGAGAGCCCCTTTCCAGCATGAATCTGTAATCACAATTTCCCAACATGATATCCTTCTCCCCCGTAACTTTGCCTAAATCATTCTTCTATTATTCAGGAGTACCTCTGGGAAGCAAACTGTTCTGTCAAGCCAGAAGAGAGAAAATGTTCAAGTCTCCTCAGCTCAGAAAGCACTCATGTCACAACCAGAGTAAAGAAAGAATAGTAAATTAGAACACTGTGCTTTTTTAGAACTACTTCCAATGTTAGCTATTGCTTTAAGTAATGGATATGGGGGGAGCACAGTATCCCAGTCCCCTTCATAAGACCGTCCCACATTCTTCTGGGGGAAGGATTCTTTCCTGCTGGACTGTCTTGGGCCTTTCATCCAGTGTACTTCTCTCCTGGCTAGGTGGATACGTAACCTACGCTAAGTCAATCTCACCTCCCACTGTCATCACTTTGTATCTGAACAGAGGATCGATCAAAGGCATTGGTCATGGTCAAGGTTCAACTGCCCCCACCAAGTGCCCCATCCTGACTTCCCACTGACACACTCCCACTTTCCTGCTTACCAGAGCCAGCCAGCCTTTCCATGGACTCAGCATGTGCCTGCGACCCTCCAAGACACACTCTTTGGCTTAAGTCAGCCACAGCCCACTTCTGTTGCCTGCAACAAACTATCCCTACACCTCAACTCAGTTTTTCCATAAACCTCAACAGTTGATGAATCTCACAATTTCAGATTTTGTATCAGAATCCAGACTCAAAGATTTTCACTTGGCACTAATCCTCAGTGTAAGAATTCTAACTAATTGAGGCAAGTCCTGAAATCCATATTCTTTACTTCCTACAAAAAACCCACATCCATTCCTCCCACCTGAACAACACGTGCTCTTCTGCGGTTTTCAGACTTTATTGTCTACGGCCTACAACTCTCATAGTCTCCTCTCTGGTTTCTCTGCCTCTGGACTCCACACCTTCAGTATCTCCTGCTCTAGATCTTAAGATTATCATTCTTGAAGAGCCAATTTGATCTTACCATTCGTGGGCTCAAAACCATTCAATAGTTCAACCAATAAGCCATGCAACAGGCAGGCAATGGAATACTACTCATCCTTCCCCAGAGCCTTCGCTGGTCTCTCTAGCAGGAAGGAGATGATTCCTCCCTTCTCTTTATTCTGAGATCTAATGATCAGTGGGTAAGAATTACTTAGCAGCTGATACATGCATCTGGTGTTGTGGGTGTTTAATCTGAGCTGTGCAATGAAGCTTGATGATTTTAGATCCTATACAGTGCGTACCAGAGTTCCCCACACTGGTCAGCTTTCCAAAACTTATTGAAAGTAAAATGATTATTCTACCTGACATCTTTGAATTTTCCCTGATCCTGGTTGCACTACCTAAAACAATGTTTGCTAAGTAAGGAAATTCCATCTCATTGTTAAAATTCTGTATGGAATCTGATCTAAAATTAAAACAATAGGGCGCCCAGGTGGATCAGTGGTTTAAGCCTCTGCCTTTGGCTCAGGTCATGGTCTCCAGGTCCAGGGATCAAGCCCTGCATTGGGCTCTCTTTTCAGTGGGGAGCCTGCTCCCCCCTCTCTCTCTGCTTGCTTGTCTGCCTAATTGTGACCTCTCTCTCTCTGTCAAATAAAGAAATAAAATCTTTAAAAATAAATAAATAAAAATAAAATCAAAACAATAAATATTCTGGTTAAGATTTATCTTCTAGGGCACCTTGGTGGCTCAGGGAGTCAGGTATCAGACTCTGGATTTTGGGATCAGGTTATGATCTCAGGGTCACAAAATCAAGCTGCATGTTGAACTAGTGCTCACCAGAGTCTACATGTCCATGATCCTCCCCTTCTGCCTCTCTTGGCCCACGCCACCTCATACAAGTATCACGAGCAAATATCACGAGTTGTCTCCCTTTATCCCTGTCTCTCTCTGTGTTTGACTCAAATAAATAAATAAAATCCTAAAGAAGAAAAGGAGGGAGGAAGGAAGGGACAGAAGGAAGGAAGGAAGGAAGGAAAAAGAAAAGGAAGGAAGGAAGGGATTTATTCCTCCCACTTGGGATAAGCATGTAGCTTCAGGTCACCTTTGTGACTGCCCGGGAGCACACACAGGCAGCCATTGTTCCGGTCGATGTGCTCCATGGCTGTCCAAGCACCAACTATGTTATTGCTGGGCTTGATGGGGAAATAGTGCAGATCCTGGTGTAAGGGGTGGCTGGATGTCTTCTTGCCTGAAACAGAACCTGCTGTTAAACCACACTTGAACCTCAGAATTCATCTCCTCTGCCTGAAAACCAGATCAGTGACTATCCCTCCAAAACCCAAAGAAGTGAAACCACACTACAGACAATCAGCCTGGAGAGGTAAGCACCAAATTGCAATATCAAATCGACAGGGTGACTCCAGATCCTTCAACCTTTTTGTGGGTTTCTGACAGCCAGGGATTCACACCATTCTCTGGCAACTCATAACATGTTATGATCTCTATTGTGCTTTACTCCATTGTAACTCTGGTTTGGGCACAGAGCCTAACACTCAAAGAAAAATTTGGTCAACTTAAGAGATTAACCAAATTTGAAGTTCCCTGCTAGCCCTCTAAGTGGCTGATACAAACACTATCGAGTAACTAAATTAATAAAAGGCTTCCAAGAAGTTCTGCACAGAACTAAGAGCACTTGGTGAACAGTCACTATGTAGAATCAGAGATCACAGAACCACATTTACGTGGTTCCCTGTTTTGCACTCTGAACTTGGTACTGTTCCCCTACACCCAACCCCGACGTCTCTAAGCAAGACATCCAGTGTAGGAGAGCTTTCATGGTGCTACAAAACAGGCTAGTCACATAAAGCTCTCCTGGCCTCTTTCTCTCTCCAGAAAAAGTGGAAAACCATAAAGAATTCTGAAGGATCAATTTATTACTGCTAGTAGAGTAGAATTTCTCAGCGTGGACCAAGAGCTGTGGTTGGCTTAAAAAATGCAGATTCTTGGGGGTGCCTGGGTAGCTCAGTCAGTTAAGCATCTCTTGATTTCAGCTCAGGTCTTGATCTCAGGGTTATGAGTTCAAGTCCCGGGTTGGGCTCCACGCTGGGCATGTAGCCTACTCACTTAAAAAAAATTTTTTTTTAGTGCAGATTCCTGGGTTTTAGCTTCCAAATCAGTTTCTCTGGGAGTGAGATCTTAGGAGCTACATTTTAGCAAGCACAAGACATTTTAAGTCAAGTGATGTATGTGATTTGTAAGAAAGCTTTAATTTTGATAATAATATCTTCAATCAGGAAAACAGAATTCACACCATCATTGGTAAGAATAGTTAACAAAGCTTAGGGATGATAATTATAGTAATAGGAGCCTATAGTATATGAACAGTCATATTTATTAAACCAAACTTTTGAGCAGCAAGCCAGTCAGTCTTCCAGAAATCCAACAATAACCCTAGAGTTAACATCTGAAATCGCTCTTCTACCTCACTATTGTTATGATGTATGCTATTTTAAGACAAATAAAAGGACATATATATTTAGTTATCCAAATTTAGCAATTACAAACACAGCTAGAGTTAGAACACCCTAAACTCTCTCTTTTCCTCTTTTTTTGCATTTGGGGGGGGAGGGCTTCTCCAAAACAAATAAGAGCCCTTTACCAGAATCTGGAGGTTTGTTTATCAGCATTGTATGCATGGCCACAATATCAAGTCCAGTGAAGCACTCCATGTATTTCAGAATCTAAGAGAAAAGAAGAAAAAAAGTTTGGCAAGAAATCCAATGCACAAAAGTGGCACAAAGTACAATTATCTGTACAAGAGCCAAGATGCCTTCATTCAACACTTGGTAGGAGCGCCTGGGTCAGTCAGTGAAGCTTCCAACTCTTGATTTCTGCTCAGGTCATGATCGCACAGTCACAGGATCAAGCCCTGCACTGGGCCCTCTGTTTAGTGGGGAGTCGACTTGAGATTCTCTCCCTCTGCCCCTCCCCTCCAAACAAACAAATATATATATTTTAAAAAACCACTTAGTATTTCACAACATTCCAAACAAAGCTTGAAAGCAGAAAAAAGTTGCAACGGTAAGTCTGCAACACTCTGAATTAAACAGGCTTCTCCAAGCCAGTTAGAACCCTAACCACTTTTTCTACAAGAGAGGCATGTGGGGGCACCTGGGTGGCTCAGTGGGTTAAAGCCTCTGCCTTCGGTTCAGGTCATGATCCCAGGGTCCTGGAATCAAGCCCCACATCAGGATCTCTGCTCAGCGGGAAGCCTGCTTCTCTGCCTCTCTCTGCCTGCCTCTCTGACTACTTGTCATCTCTGTCTGTCAAATAAATAAATAAGTAAAGAAATTGAGAAAAATCTAAAAAAAAAAAAGAGAGAGAGAGAGAGGCATGTGTTTCTCTGAGATATCAACTGGGAAGGGCAGAGAGAAACCTTCTTTCAACCGGAACTGTCTATAGTTTCCCAGGGAGCAGGCAGCTTCCTCTCTGCCCCCACCAAGAGTCTTCATAAGGAGGGACCATGAGGGGTGCCTGGCTGGCTCAGTAGGTAGAGCATGCAACTCTTGAGCTGGGGTTGTGAGTTCAAGCCCCACGCTGAGCATAGAGCCTACTTAAGAAAAAAAGAAGGAACCATGAGAGGCCCCAAAATGTGCAACGGCCATGCATAGCCCAGAGGAAAAGAGAAGGGCAACTGGGGTGCTACCTCTTTACATCTAACCCACGGAGGGACCTGTACATGCAGAAAGGAGTCAGCAGTGTATGTCGACTACCTGCAGGGGGCTTTATGCATCAGCCCACCTAAACCACACAGCGATCCCTGAAAAGTAATGCCCCCATGGATGAATAAGCCTTTAACATGAACACCCCACACAAATAAGCCCAAACCTAATAAACTGCCCAAGTTTGCAGAGCGAATTCAATGAAAAAGATGGTATTGAATCTCCAATTCCGTCTGACTCCAAAAAATGAAGCATATTCTACTGCTTTCTCATTGTTTGATCCTGTAGTAGGAATACTGGCAACTTGAGCAGGAAATGCTTGAAATGAAACCAAAATCCTAGAAGTCAGGCCTCCTACTTGTTTGTTTATAAAGCGTGTCAACTTTTGCAATTTCCTTAGGCCAGTATTTTCTTTCTTTCTTTTTTAAATAATCCCTAATCCCACCATGGGGCTCAAACTCAGGACCTTGAGATCGAGGATCTCATGGTCCCACAACTAAGCCAGCCAGGTGCCTCTGACCAGTATTTTCTAAACCTCACTGACACTCAAGAGCCATTTTACCATTTCTATCATACTTTACGGAGGTACTCAATATAGTTAGCCAACAATTTTTCCAAATTAACTTATGTCTTATCCTGATTAATAATATTCCTGAGGTCATAGGTTGGATGAGCTGGTTATTTTTTCCACTACACATTAAAATAAATACCTAACTACTAAAAGCATGACCCACC